CCCAGTCATCTGGAGACAAGTCTGTCATTCAGCATCTCCTAGGACGTTCATGACCTAGCGAGCGTATTTGAGCAGAGCGTTTGTCCAGGGAGACGGAGAAGCAGACACAGGTCAGTCGGTGTGTTCAGTCAGGGATGATGTGTGCGGAGCTAACAGGAGGAGATGCGGCCGTGGTAGGGACCGCCCGCCTACTGCTGAGCAAACATAGGGCTCCTGTTCGCTTTCATCTTCTCCAGCCGCTTGGTCAACAGACTGTTACTCGCCTCCAGCTCGTCCACTTTGTCCAGAGCCGACCTGAGCTGAAATGGCAAGGGGGGCCGGGAAGTAAGAACAGCGCTTAACGAGCGGGACGACATGAGGAGCGACTGTTACCTCTCTCTGCAGTTTGCGTTTCTCCGCCTTCAGGTCATCCTCGACTTTCTCCGCATTCTCAGAAGCCGATTTGTAGCGCGTCACCTGACCTTCCAAACGTATGACCTGCAGAACAGGAGACCCTGCTTATGGGGGGTACATTTTTGTCCTGCAACACATCGAGAAGTTTGGGCGGAAGCCAAAAGAATCATCCTTTACCGCCAACCACATGAGGCAGACATAGTCATTCCCTAAAAACCACACTAAGACTGGTCTGCTTATGCCGTTACGCTGAGAAAAGTGTAAAATAATACAACTCTAAAGGAAACACCCTCTGTGGCTTTTAATGTGTAGGGCAGGGGTGGCCAATCTTATCTTCTAAGGGCCGGTGTGTATGCGAGTTTTCACTGCAACTCCCTAATTAGATTACTAATTAGAGGACTGATTGGCTGAAGAGTCCTCACACCTGAGTTTGAACAGCTGACCTACAGGTTATCCCAAAAACCTGCATACACACCGGCCCTTTGCGGATAAGATTGGTCACCCCTGGTGTAGGATCTAGAGCACAGAGCATACGCATCTCCAAATTACACGTAAAAACCTTGAAACACTTACATTTTGTTCCAAAGCTGCAACTTCCTGCTCCGATTTGACCAGCTTAAACCTGAGCTCACTAATTTGCCTGTTGGCATCTCCTGTAAAGGGGAATTTTTAGAACTGGCATTACTCTGGCATTACACTTATTTAGTGGTCAATATGCTTAGAAGTATTTATAAATTGTGTTCAAATGAAATACAAGATACTCTGACTTTATTTCGTGGTAGATGGCATCTTGGGAAACCAAAATGTGTGGGATAGACTCAGACAAACGATGGGATGAACATGCGTGTGTTTAACAAGCACAAATCCAAGGTGAAAATAAAAATAAAACCCACCACCCTGAGGACCCACCCACTCATTCTTAATGTTATTAAAACAGAAAAATACCCCTTGATCTGTTTTCGATGAGTCTGTATCATATTCATATGATGTGGACACTGGCAGTGAAAGGATGTCCTTACTTTGGATGTCCAGGATGTGTGGATTGGTCCCGTTCTCTAACGTCACATCATCAGGGGCCACCGCCTCGTCCCTGCCATTCTGTTTCTGATCCAGCTGAGTCTTTAGCCTCTTCACCTGGGTAAGTGCAACGGATCACACGGCTTAAGGTCTCCCTGGCATGTGGCCTGGGAGCGAGACCTTCCCCTGACCACGCAGACACGCGTGTGACGTGGTGGCCGGTCTCACCTGTTCTACCAGGTTCTCCCTCTCGTCCACCAGCTTTCGCAGTCGTATTTCTGGAAGAGACACATTAAGGTAAGCTCACGTAGACAGCTCACTCTAGTTTCTAAATATCTGCAGTGGCAGCCATGTTTTTAGTAGCTGTTATGAATGTAGGTTTTTCAATATGGCAATGAACCACGAACATGCAGAAAATGCTAACATTAAGCACATTTTAGTCTATTCAACTACAGTCCAGCATCTTGAGATTACACCTATTAATAGACAAATAAGGCTAATTGTTACATTTTTAAATCACAAGCAACAGAATACTGCGTTCTGCAAAAAGAGCCCCACTATAAATAAAGCAGATGTTTTGAAAAGAAATGGGACATTTCTGATTTAATGGACCCAGTATTCAGATGTTTTATTCTATTTCTGTACCAGGACTTCTGGTGCACAGATGCTATTAAAAATGCCAAAGGCAGGCTTTGGCGGTACACAGGCCAAGCCCTCAAATGTCACAAACCTCTCCCTTTCCCAAAAAGCAGACTTAAAAGGCCATCATGGAGTCCAGAAATCCAGTTCAGGCATGGAACTGCTTGTACTTTTCTGGTGAACCAGGATCACTTAATCCAAATTTAACTGACTAAAATTTGCCTAGAGATATTTTTTGGGCCGATTCACTATATCTCTACGTTCCTTTTTTTTTTTTTTTTTCCATTTTTCCAATTATTATATAAAAACTGCTGTGCAAAACAGGTCAGTTCATTATTGGATATACATTCTAATTTAGCATCAATGTCATGGTATATATAGGCTGCTGGTATATATAGGTATTTATCATATATATGTTACTACCTGTAATTCTAACTATTAAGCAATCGACTTTGAGACTAGAGATCAGGAACACCTGACCCAAGGAGGTCATCAGACGTTTCCTTTAGAATATCAGAAAGCCTAACACAAACAGGCAAACTAGTTACATGCAATAATTTATAGTCCCTTTGGAGAAGTGAACACAGTATTTCAGGGTAACAAAACATGTCAAAAAAAAAAGGAAATGTTACCATACCAGAGGAGATGAGAGGAGGAGGAACGCCAAGAACACGGAGGATGGGAGCTCACTCAGGGTGGGGGGGGGTTAGGTCACGTGACGCATGCAAAGGGAAGCGATGTCCTCTAAGGGTTAGCATGCAAGAACTGGAATGGAGATGCAGCTGAGGCACAAGCCCAGCAGGGGCTCCAGCCATGCCGTGAGACAGCACCAGAGTGTTACGTTTACACTGTTATGAACTTTTAATGAAGCCCACCAGTGGTTGTCTTTGTAAAGCCCGAGACAGTATCCAAATAGGTGTAGGGTTATACCACCATCTATGTCATTAAAACAGGGTCTTCCCACCCTAACCTGTATCATGTTCCAGCGGTAGCCCATAAACATTCCATTCCCACTCCAGTAAGTATTACCCGTAGCTATTTTATGCTAAAATGCCCACCACATGTTCGAAACAAGGCTGGACTGAGCAGAAAAGTCAGCCCAGTAAGGAAGGTGTTAAATGCAAGGACAATGCAAACACATTCCCTAATTAACATCAAGCTTAAAGCTGATTCCCCTGGTCATCCATTACATTGTTGCACAGGACAGAAAACATCGATCTACCTGTTTAAGATAATATGGGCTTCAAATTTCATTGTTTAATGCTCCAGTTGTATTGCCTTGAAAATTCTGAAACATCTCAAGCACAGCTGATGTGATTATCTTTACATGCTAAAACACAGATTATACCCCATGCCTATCAAACCAAAACGGTGTCGAACTGTCAATCGAATGCTATTACTGTCCAGCCTTAGTCTCTGATGGTCTGTAATAAGAAATTTACAAACGAGGGGAGGCCATTCGGCCCATCAAGCTCGTTTGGGGAGAACTTAACTAATAGCTCAGAGTTGTTAAAATCTTATCTAGCTCCGATTTAAAGGAACCCAGGGTTTTAGCTTCCGCTACACTAGCAGGAAGACTATTCCATACTCTAACTACACGCTGTGTAAAGAAGTGCTTCCTCAAATTTGTTTTCAAATGTTCTCCCGCTAATTTCCACTTATGGCCACGAGTTCTAGTATTTAAACTAATATTGAAATAGCCATTTGGCTGAACAGCATCCAGACCCGTTAGAATCTTATATACCTGGATCATGTCCCCCCTTAGTCTCCTTTGCTCAAGGCTAAACAGATTCAGCTCAGCTAACCTCTCCTCATAAGACATTCCTCTAAGACCAGGAATCATTCTCGTAGCCCTCCGTCGCACCTTTTGTAAGGCAGCAATGTCCTTCTTAAGGTATGGTGACCAAACCTAGGAGGCTTCAGTGTCACAACCAACCAAGGTTTCATTAATATTTTTCAAAGAAACATTTTATTTCATTATAAAAGTAATTATACTTCAGAGACACAATTCCACATTGATTGGTACATCTTTGGTCAAGAAAAGAACAAACTCCTTTCTTTAAAATCTGCTGCAAGACTGGACATGGAATACTGAACATTTAAAAAAAAAAAAAAAAAGTTTGCTAAAACAGAAGATAAAACAGGATTGGCATGAAATACCGCAGTAGCTTTTATATTTATGTACTGCAACCAGGGTGGATAGGGTGGGATGGGCAGAGTAACCAGTCATGGGCCTCCAACCCACACTAAGAGGAATGCAGAAGAAAAACTATATATAAACACTCAATTTAAGTCGGTTCATGAGCTTGGAGTGGACCTAATAAGGGCTTATCTTTACTTATCAAAGTGATATGTCTTTTATAAAGTCGTCTTTGTGCATCGCCAGATACAAGAATTTAAGAATTTAAAGTATCATCATTGTACTGGTGTAACGGTCATCGACAGGCAACAGATTCTCAGATACCTATAAAGGCCCTTTCTGAATGGGGCCATGGATTCCACTGCAATATTTAGACCATCACTGGCTGCAACACATTAATACATCAGTCATTAATACACCATATTACACACTCCTATATACTCAGCTCGGGTGATGGAAACAGGGTTACAAGGCACTAAATAACTTAAAAAGGAGAAATTTGCTTTGTAAAGAAAATACAAAGTGTACAAAAAAAATGTAAAATGCAACATAAACACCGTCTAGTACTGCACATGGTATTGGTCGACATTCTGTATGCGCTCAGCAAATACCATGTTGCTATGCTAACAAAATCATGTAACAAAAGCCCAGATAGCCAGTGGATATTTCACCAGCCATTAAAAAATGCTAGGAAAAAAAACTGGATTATCTCTACAGAAATAAATAAATTTTCATGGATGCAAGCTGGTTTAAAGTGATCATTTTTTCCTCTTGTACTATCCCAAATAATATTAAACAAATGCAATCAAAGTGAAATGGAACATGGCTGGAACATTCAGTGCAATTCAGACTCCAGCTGACCAATTTCTGTACGACAAAAAGTGTTCCCCAAATTTGTGAGCCATAGTGTTACTGGGTTTTAAACCTCCGTAATTATTGACTTAATCAATCTGTTTCAGGATTTTTTTTCTTATAAACAGAGCAGAGACTGATGGAAAATCAAATAAGAAAAACAAAAATCAAAATGGGACACTACATTGTAGCCTTACATGGCATAATTTAGGAACTTTTATATGTTTAATAAATTACTGTAATCAGCGTTTACTCAATGCCTACCCAGCAGGATGTGTCCATAAATGTATTCAAACGTTTATGTCATGTACCCGGACATAACCTTATTACAGTTCATTTCCTGTGCATATGGGTCTTCCACGATCTGGCATTTCAGGCTGCACTGACCTGCCTAGGAACTAGGCCATGCGACAGTCTTCTTTGCCCTTGGCCTTGCCCTTCTTACTGCCTTTTGCTGAGCCTGCGTCGACTTGCTCTTCACTGCCCTCCGGTGGCTCTTCTGTTGGTTGGCTCTCCTGATTCTCAGCGGAATGACTCCCTGTCACAAATGCCACGGCCTCTTCCCCTTCCTCTACGGAATTCTGGACTGACTGTGACCCATCAGACATCTGCTCCACCTTCACTGTTCCCAAAACATCTGCAGATGAATTCCCCTCATCCTGTACTTCAGGGCAGTCTCTTATACTGGGATTCTGGCACTGACTGTTTCCAGATTCCTTTTCTGGTCTGGAATCAGGGTTTTCTCCTAACTTCGCTTCTGTGTCTTCATCAGCTTTTCCTTCATTTGTGGATATTTCTTCCAAACTATCGTCTTCATGTGGCCTACTGCTAATTGTATTATTAGATGCTTCCAAATTCGAACCTAAATCATCATCAAACTGGAATGACTCTCCTCCTTCTTCATCATCGTCCAGCTCTTTTGGTTGCAAGTCCACCTCTTCTAACTTTAATTCGCCCTCATTGTATTTTTCAGATATGCTTGGATTCACCATTTCCACTTGGTTTGGAACTGTTGGTTCAACAGATGTTGACTCGGTGTTTTGGGAATCTGTTAATTCAGCACCTTCCTCCATTATACACTCAGGTGGCTCCTCACAGGAGTCATTTTCCTCCTCAAACAAATTCTCAGTTTGCCCTGCAACGTCGCTCTCAAGCCCGTTGTCCTTGACCAGAACGTCAGCAGCAAACTCCTTACTTATAGTTACATGTCTTTGAGCATCTACTCTTTCCTGCAACTCAACATCTTCACTGCAGGCCTGGTCTTCTTTGTGATATCCTGACAGCTGTTCTTTTTCCAGCACCTCAGCTTCTTCACAGCTATCCATCTCCTCAGTCTCTGTTGCTTCAAGCAGTGCACCTTCACTCTCAGTGACATATTTTATTAAGTTATCCTGAGCACCCTGAATCTCCTGGACATTTCCCTCAGCCTTATTCAGATCACAATCACTTCTATTCGGGTCTTCTTGTGGGATTTGTACCTCCTTAGGAAAATCAGAGCCAACAGGTTCCTCAGTAAAGGCCTCAAGGCTGAATGTGTTTCCTACATTAGCATGCTTGATCCCATCAGCTAAGGCTTTGCTTGTCTCTTCCTCCAGGAGGGAAGAGCTTTCTGATGGCACATCCACTTCATGCTTGATGCCTATGCCACCTGCAAGGATATCTGTTTCTTCAACGTTCTTGCCCTCCAACACTTCACTGTCATTTCCTCCTTCCTGCTCTGTTTTTTCCTCCTTGTCCACCCTCTCATCATCCTGCAGTGCCTGATTTAATGTTTTGATTTCAGTTTCCTCCACAGTTTCAGTCTGACATTCCGCAGCTGAAGGATCTACTGTCGATAGATCGGTCTCCATCTCTTTGACCAAAGGAGTCCCCATGCAATCATTTGCTGTCTTCTCCTGCTCCTCCTCATCTACCTGCTTAGCTTCCTCTGGATTTTCAGTGAGTTTTTGTTTCTGTTTGCCTTTCTTTTTCTTTTTCTTCTTCTTACCAGAAGCACCAGTATTCTCTGGCTGTGAAGACGTAGTAACGGCTTGAACTGAAGCTCTCTCGGTCGCCCCCTTCTTCTTTGCCTGTTGCTGGGTGGTCTTCACACCTTTTCCCTTCTTCGGTTTTTCCTTTGGTTCCAAAACCACATCAGCAGTTTCATGCTTCAGGTTACTAGACACACTTTCAGCTGTCTCATCACCCCCTTCAATCAAAGTTGACTCCTTCGGACATTCTTCTTTCTGGTCCTTGTCTGTGCTTTCTGCAGGAGGGGTCTGTGGTTCAGCACATACAGGAGAAGCTGCACCAGCCTCCTCATCCATGTCTCTGGTGCCGTCACTGGTTTGGTTAGATTTATCTTCTTGCATAACATTTCTGACATTCTCATTCTCAGATTCCATATCTCCAGTCTTATCACTGGACTCGCATTCTCCTTGATCCACTGGTGCCATGGTTTCCTGGCGGTTCCCATCGGCTATGCTGTCTGAGCTATTTTCTATTTCCGTTCCACCCTCCAGACTTGCCGTTTGTCCTTCGGTACTCAACATCCTCCCGTCGACCAGATCTGCGTTCCCCACCCCATTGTCTCCACCCTCTTCTTCCTTTGTAATAGAACCCTCTGTGCCATTAAGCACCATCAATTCATAATTGTCTTGAGCTACAAAGTTAGCCTCTGAATTGTGCTGACTGTAATGCATCCCAAGCCCAGACCCCATGAGGGAATCGGATTGTTCTCTCTCGGGATTCCCTGTAGGAGGCACACTGGCCTGGCTGCAGGAAATAGGTGAAGACGGCTCTCTTTCACCCTGGTTCTGCTGTGCACTTTCAGCGGCACTGCATTCCAGTGACTCCACCTCCTCCTGTTGCCTCTGCTGTTCATCTATGTGGTTCTCAGCCTTCTCCACCAGCTCTCTACTGCCCCCTTCCTGTAACTCTTTACCTTCCATCTGCCCCTCCGCGGCTTTGCCTGGAAGACCATTGGAAGAGAACTGTAGGGCCAAATTGTGTGCAGCTGCAACCAAAGTTGTAAAAATGGAATTCTTTTCAGCTGCCTTTTTTTTGCGGCATCAGTTAGTACAGAAAGAGAGAGAGACCGGTAACCACTGGGGAGGAAAATCAGCAAGGAGGGAATATAGACAGGAGACCCAAAGCAAAGTTCTTGGCCCCAGACAATTCAGAAGAAACACTAGAGAGCTGCAGCAGAACATCAGAAAAGTCCTCAAAGTCCAATAAATCTCTGCTGTGGTTCTTTGGGTAAAAGCCCCGCAAGAAGTGCAAATATACCTGCATTCGCATGAGAATCAGCCAGGGTGCTGTTTGCGTTGGACCAAAGGTGTTAATGTATCCCCACCATTCTAAACCACATCAGATATTTATGGAAGCAAATTGAGAGAGGGGGTAAAAAATAAAGTTTGACTAGCAAATCATCACATCACTCATTTTAATTTTGCGGATACGTTTGAATATGTATTATATTTTTAGGTTTTGTTCAATGATATTCCTATATTAGATCATTTTGGAACCCACTTAATTAAACCAGGGGCAGGTAATCTCAAGTCGCATGATGTGCTGTGAAATTCTACCTCTTCATTGTTAAACTGAACTGATTATCTTGATAGTGATAAACCTGGATTAAAAGGACACTGGGACCTCAGACTTCAATGCTCAGTGACAGGGACTGATCACCTCTCAACAAATTAGCAAGATAATAAATAATGAAAAACAAGAGCTTGAATCTATACAGAAACAGAAAAAAACTAGATTTGCATGGTGCTCAGAATAATGGGGAGCAATGAAGGAAGTCAGAAAGTTTGCCCAGAAGTTGAATTTGATCGTGAGGTGTGGAGCAGAGGAAGAACATGGGAAAACGGAAGTGAAAAACACAGCAGACAAGCATGTGGATTAGTGATACAGATTATGGCTAAGCAGCTCACACAGTCAGAGAAGAGCGCTTATGCCAGTCAAGGTCTTACCTAGCATGCTGTCGCCCCCAATCTGACTCGTTTGAGGGTCTTGGGCTGATCGTGTGGCAGAGTCTGCGTTGGTAAGTCTGTCAATCACACCTTCCGTCTCTCCATTGGCGTTAAGATCAGGCCCAAGAACTATGCCATGTTTCTGGACAGGATGTACAGACTATGTTGACAATTTCATACTCCACAATTCTCAATAGCCTCAATATACCGCACTCTGGATGAGATGTGTTCTGTTTCTCTGTAGTTGTCACATCCAATGAAGATCCATAACAAATTCCAACAGAACCGCATAAACTATCGCAAAACTATTGCATTTCAGGACATTATAATTAAGCCATATCACGGTTTACTGTTACTTATACTACACTTCTGAATACTGCAGACTGCAGGAATGCACAAAGAAACAGCTTTTCATTGACGGCTAGCTCAAATAAAACGTGTTAATGTTGTACTTCATGCTTGTAATTTGGTCTCAGTACAGTTTAAAATACAGGATTCCAAATTCTAAATAGATTTAAATATGGCCAAATCAGTGGGTAAGCACTCAAAACATCCTAAAAAGGGTAAATTTGTTTGATTTCCAACATAAATTTGACACAAGTAGATGTCACAGGCGTTTGTCTTACAGAAGCTCAGTACCTTCAAAGTATCTCTCAGCTGAAGGACCTCATTCCTGAGGTCATCGCGCTCGTTTTGGATAGCATCAGAATACTCCTTCTGCCTCTCTAAGGCCTGAGCATTGCCCCCAGAAGCAGAGAAAATGAAGAGCAAGTGGAGAAGGAGAGAAGAGATGTAGGAAGCAAGCCTGCCAAGTTATCATACACTGAAAGGGACAGAGGTTTGTTTCAGTCTAACCACAATAAGCATACCAGACCAAGACGGGCCAATAATTCTAACAAAGAAAAAGTTAGACTGATAAATTATCAACTGCACTGGGAGCCTAATCTAATCCTACGAAAAGACTGAATGAAGTCCCTCTTATCATGCTGGCCAGTATTCAATGGGTACAAGATACCTAAACTAATAGACTGAGGGATTGTGTCATGCTAACTCTACTGATCAGTGCTGATTTACGACAGCTGGGTATGCTAACGATACTGAGTGAAGGAGGGTCATGCTAACTGTACTTCTCAGTACTGATTTATGATAGCTAGGATATGCTAAAGACACTGAATAATGGAGGTCCAATCTAACTGAACTGACCAGTACCAGTTTATGACAACTAGGTATACTAATAACAATGAATAAGAGGCTCATGTTTAAATGTATTGATTAGTAGCTATCTGGAGGCCCATGTGAACTACCCTGATTATCTCATTGTAACTGTACTGTTCTGTCGTTATACAGTAAAAGCAGGCCGGAAAGACAGGGGGGGGGGAATCGTGTAACATGGCATACCCCAATCTTTTTATCTTTCCACTCCAGAGTCTCCTGTAGGTCCGCAATCTCCCTAACATAGCCATCCTGCTTGAGACTCAACTTACGGTTCTCCTAGCCGTAAAGAAAGAAGGAACAAGAAGCAAGCAAAAGTAAGAGGGACACCAGAGAGCTGTGAAAACGCTGGGTGGGAGAGCTCAGAGGTCAGAAACAAGATGAATACCACCATCCAAGGGGACCCAGTGATAGAGATACGACGGCACCGTAAGGCAAACGAGGACCGAAGCTGAATTAAGCACACATGCTCCATATACAGTTTGTACTTACAGTGAGCAGCTCCTCGCTCTGCTTGAGCATCTCCTTCAGCTCACTGAACTGGAACTGCAGGATGTTGTGGGCGTGTCTCTCCCGCTCTAATGCCTGCCAGTGCAGGAAGCAGAGCTTCACTGGATGTGCCACTGCCTGGGCCTTCTCCTTTTTCTGATTATTATTCATTTTTAATTGAACAGACTCTTTTATCCATGATTGTTGTATAGCTTTGTCCTGCAGGAGGATTCTCTATGACCTAGTCTACTGGAGGTTCTCACCTTTGACTTCTCCTCATGCTCGCGGCGCGATTCCGACAGCTGCTCCTCCAGCTCCATCAGCGAGTCCTTCAGCACATCCACCTGGTACATCAGCTTAGACTTTTCATTGTCCAGCTGGGCATTGAACACCATGGCCTTGCGATACTTCTGCTCTACCTCCAGCATAGAGTCCTGCAGAAGCATACAAGGTCAGTAACCTGATCACCACTAAGGAGTCACGCCTATGCCCTGTGAGGGAAAAAAAAAAAAGTACCAATTTGTACCTTTGAGGTACAATAACTTGGCTGTACCCTCAAAGGTCAGCCAATTGTACCCTAGCTGTAGGTAAATGTACCTTTTTGTTTAATTTAAGGTACAGAAATTGACTCTGAGGAACAATTTTGTACCATTGGGGAACACAACTGTACCAGGGCTGCAAACTTTCTCTGCCAGTGCATCTGCAGAGCCTCCAGTAAAAATGGGCATGGTGAGCTCAAACCCATAAATGGAAGGAGACTGCCTAAAACCATCTCAAGCATACCTCACATCTAGATCTCCCAGGGTTACTAAAGAAGACCGAGTCCCCTATGAGCATCTCAGGTAATGCCACCTGTGGCTTATAAATTTTAACCTTTATCCCCAACTTCCTTAAAATGGAGGATGATGAGGACTGAATCCACAACAGATGAGACTCTCCATCTCCCAGACCACGGCTCTACTAGAGCAGTTTCACAGAACCCGGTCCTCTGTAACCACCAGCCGGTCCACATTTTTGCTCCTTCCCAACTGGGACTGTCTGTTGATTCCCAAGGATCTGATTGGGAAACATTGTTCTAGAGCATTTCTATAGATGAGAATATGCCAGCTCCTGTTGCCAGACCAGTTACTTTTGTCAGGAATCATAGAATCTCTGATATATTACAAAATGTAACTGGGGATAATTCAGGGGATATTAGAAGGTATAAAAACTACTACACACACAATGTTTTGTCCTGGGATGTGTATAATTTTATCAATATGTGTTCAGAATTGCAAGCATATATCACTGCAGCCAGGAGAGGAGTGTCCAGGGGGAGGGGTAATGTTGAGTAGGATGGGCAATGTCAAGTAAGGGGGGTATATCACGAGGGGTAGGAGGGGTTTATAACAAGGGTTAGGTTATTCAATGATAACAGTTAAACACCTCCATCTTGTAACCCCTACTCGACATTGCCCCTCATACTCGACATTGCCCCTCATACTCGACATTGCCCCTCATACTCGACATTGCCCCTCATACTCGACATTGCCCCTCATACTCGACATTGGGCTTCTGGCTGCAGTGATATGCCTCTCTAAAATTAGGCCAAAGATTGTGTAGAGATGCATATTTATGATCACACGCATTTCAGAGGGTCTCTTGTGAGTGACACAGTGTTTATCTGTAATGCACCTCCCATACCATATGTGAGCTCGGGGAAAATGTCTTGAAAGCATATGCTCACCTTCATTTCTCGCACAGACGTTTCAGGATCTGCCCAATTTGAAGCGTCACCACTTCCTCTCCTGGAGGAGGCCCGGCTCAGAGAGGCGAGGGTGGAGGTGGCCCGGGAACCCTGCGTTGAGATGTCATTCACTACAGGGTGGATGGTACTGCAGACGTGTGAAACACTCACAGCAGCTCACCATGGTCTGAGTGATGGGACTGACTTGATTAGTCTGCAGGGAAAACTGATTAATCTGGTTTGGTTTCATTGGGGAAGCCTGTCTTTTGCTTGCACTCTCTCTCTCTCTAAGACCTGTTAACATTTGGTCAGAAGTACAACTATCTATCCATGCAATGTCTCTTCCTGTCTTAGATGCAATGAAACATACAGGCACGCATCCATTCATCATTAGGGCCCCTGAGTGGAGATGCTGGATAACATGGGGATCCAATAGATTAAATCCAGTCCCAGCAGGAACAGTACTAACCTTCTCCAGGTGGTCTTTGTCCCTGTCCTCCACCTGAAACAGGATGTAGGACACACTGTGACAAGCTGGCCAAGTAGGGATAAGAAGGAGCACTGGATCAACTCAAGGACATAGAAGCTAAAGAGGTACTCTTAGTCCTGTGCAATGACATGTTAGGCCCAGACCAGTTAATCTGTAGCTGGTACAGTACAACTATTTCCTGAACAGGTACCTCTCAGTGCATATCATTAAGACATGATATCCAGACCAGGTACAATCTCAGTACATCTGGAGTAGCAGAATAATGCATGATTTGGCCCCTTGTGATGTCATCAATCATTTTTAATGGATATTAAGGGTTTGTTATTGAAGAAAGAGCCGTCACTGACCCTGAGACTCCCACGACTCCCTACTGACATGCGCTCCTCATCATCTGATATCTGAGAGAAAGACAGAAAGGTTATTAAATGGAGAAATGGTACAAATAAATGCCTAAGCCTTGTTTGTCTTCCTTGTACTCAGCTAAACCGCTAACCATATTCTCAGAGAGAGTGAGAAAGAGAAGGAGCAGACAGGGTACAGACCGAAGTGCATCTCCTTGAGTGGTAGGAATACCTCTCACTCTCCTCCTAATGAGCAGAGAGAGAAGAGGAGAGAAAAAGCGAGAAGAGGTTGAGAGGTATCATTATAAACCCAGCCAAAAACACCAAACAAACTAAGTTTACAGTGTCGACACAGAATATGGACATGCTTCATACTGAAAAGTGACAAAACACAACACCACGGTGCAAACTCGATCGCTCTCTGGCCAAGTCTGTCCTCAGGGTTCACTTTGCTTGCCTCAAAGCCAGCCCAACCCCTGCAGTCAGGCATTTCTGTCTGCACCACTGCCCCCGCCGCCCAGTACCCATATGTAAAGCTGGTAGGTCAGCCCCAGCCAGTTAGGACCTACTCAGTTCCCACTGACTGTAACTGCATCTTAAAGAAAAGATCACATGAACTACACATGAATCTGTAACACCCTGCAGAATGTGGATCACATTGACCAAGACAAGTAATCCTTCACAACTCTATGCTAGCTTACATGGACTCAACAGGCAAGCACTGGTTATGGACATCTAATCCCAGAACAAAACCCATGCGTCGAATGAAGGGGAGCATGCACGCCGAGCTGAACCGATTAATGCATGCAACATAAAATGCGACATGGAGAATTTCACAAAGCAAGTCTCTTAGCTGAAGATTGTACTTCAGGGGGGAAAATCTTGATTAATCAGCCAACGCTGACAATCCAGCTTTGTGAAATGACCTCTGATCTTGAACTTAGGGACCATGTTGCCAAGCTTAATGCCCTTCAATAACACAATTGTCTGACTATTTTTACAGAGCATGTTAGTTACCTCCAGCTGTGTTTAGAGATAGTATCAAATGGGGCCAACTAAACCAGGTAAAAGAACTGCAAGATTACACCCATCCCACTGTTAATATTGTTATAACAGGGAAGCAGAGATGCTCATGACTTACTATATATCACCAGGGCATCAACATGGTCTCATGGCAACACAGTTTAAGTCACCTTGGTGACATTAAGACGTGAGCCAAGGGAACTAAACTGTGTCTAGTTTACAGAAATCTCGTCGATATACGAAAACAACAAGGAATATTTGGAACCGCCATCGTAATTCAGCGTCTGCGTGGGCCTCAAACACGATACTCATACCATCCACTGCTCGATGTCACTCCATTTACTTTCCAGCCCGTGAAATTTCTGACAGCAGTAAGTAGGAGGATGAAGCCACAGATTTAAAAGACAGAAAGAAAAAAAGAATGAGAAAGAGATAATAATCAATGACTTTGGCTTATTGTGCACTAGGGCAGAAGACAATCACACATAGAGTCCAAGCGAAAGTTAGCTAGAAATGCAAGGTACCCTGCGGAAAAGGAAAATGATTTTAAAACTACTATCCTTTTAAGCAAGATTTTCCATGAGCAAAAATCTTTAAAAGGACATTGGAGTAAAGGTGGGGAAAAAACACAAAGTTGGGCCTACCTTCTGGAAATTCAGGACGCAGAGACCACAGCAGATGGATCAGGAAGCAAGGAAGTACAGAAGAGAAGGTAAATAGGGAGGAAGGGATGGACAGAGAGAGAGAGAGAGAGAGATGGGAGACACAGGTGAAGACTGGGAGCAGAGTGTAACACAGCATGAAAGCTGACACAGGTCTGTTTGAAGCAACACCAGCCAAAGGTGCAAAGATCTTATACCACGATTCAAAATCCACAGAGCTCTGAGAGAGGGAGGGTGTCATTACACCACATGACCAAGTTGCCTGAGTAACACAGATTCTTGTCATTACTCCTTAGGGGTCTGTCAGCTGTCTGGCAGTCCTGGCGTGTCCTGTCACTATGTCACCAGTGCATGCTGGTTCCCATACCCACTGAAAGCCACCATCGCCCCCGGGACAACATTCTCCCAGTGTCGCAGACAGAGATAAGATGGTTAGTGAGGAATTCTAATTGAATGTTAACAGAAACAGCCTTTTACAGGTTCCGGTCATTGTCTGGGAGAGGACTGGCACAGAGGACAGCATATCAACAGCACTGTAGTTAACAATATCGAAGGAAAAATCTCTCTCTAAAAATCTATCACTTGGTATATAGATTCTAAATAAACATCCTGAGTAAAACCACACAGTGCACACGAGTAATGTGAACAATGTTAATCAGACAAACATCTCATGGTACAGTACTGAGCAGACACAATGTAGCTTACTGATCAGTGTGTGAATACACATTTTTGCTCCCTCCCAGCTCCCAGGAGCAAAAATGTGGACTGTCTGTGGGTCCCCAAGGACCAGACTGGGATAGTGCTACCAGAAACTCGGAGGGTGCAAAAATGTGGACTGTCTGTGGGTCCCCAAGGACCGGACTGGGAAACAATGCTACCAGAAGCTCGGAGGGTGCAAAAATGTGGACTGTCGGTGAGTCTCCTAGGACCGGATTGGGAAACACTGCGTTAGTATCATTTTTCTGTTTATCAAGCAGGCTACAGATGGCCAAATGCAGTTAGCTGTTTATGAGGTGTAATCACAACAAAACATCCCAGTTAAAACCTAACCTACCTGTATAAAAAAGAAACATCTTCATTTAAACTTTGCGCTGTCACCTTGCTAGGAACGCTAAGCAAACGTGAAGCACGACGTCGACCCGACCGACAAACCTCGAATACAGGACTAGCTACCCATTTCTGAGACAGTGGACAGATGTTCCCCATACGGGACACACATGTAACTAGCTGAAATTTAGAGTCTCCTTTCCCCTGCCGGTCCACCACACCCACCTTCCACAGCAGAGGGGACTCTGGGTCTCCCGTCCCTGTCACACACTTCCCTGCCATGCTGACAACTTACGGGGCCTTGTCACGGGCAGCACGCCCCGACCACGCTGCTGCTCGTCCCAGGCGGTCTTCAGCCACCTGGGTGGAGCCGTCCAGTCACAAAGCACCAAGCCTTGACAGTCTCCAAAAGCAGCTACAGGAAGATAACCCAACCCAGTCCTGCTGGACCTACCAGATCCCATACTATTCAGTTCCTCCTCACTGAAAGAGCAAGTACAGCATGGAGTGCAATTGTTCTGTGCTGGGATTACCAGCCACACTCATTTGTCCAATCAGACCTGGCTAAACTCTGAATACACTGTAATCCAGTCTGTGTGTGTGTGCGTGTTATGATCACAGGCCTATTATATTCTTAATAATATTACTGTTTTCTACAAACATGGCTTTATGTAGCATTGCACAGCTGCATGTAACCTTCTGAAAATATTTTGCTGCTACTATGTTTCAAATGTGTGTGTGTATGTGTGTGTGTGTGTGTGTGTCACATAAACAACCATTAAACTGCTGAACATGGCCCCCTAACAAGTTTCTAAATCAAGGTGCATTTGCAGCCTTTGAAAACAGAGGGAGATTGATAGAGTTCCTGCAGAAATTATTCACTTTGCAAAAGTAAACATATAAAAGGTTAAAGTTGTGCCCAAGTCAGACTTTGGCTACATAATCAGTAATCTAAGCAGGGAATTTCAGCTCAAGGACTTTTGCTTCCTTGTGCATTCTGTGTCCTGTGAGAACCTTTCCCCGTTCTCCTTTGGGATATCGTAAGAGGACTCTGTGATTCTGTAGCAGAGCGTTCTGATTCACACAAGATGAGTCATTTAGAGCTCAGTGGCAGGACCAGATTGGGCCACTGAACCAAGCCGGGAGTCAAGGCGTCAAAACTGGCCCCTTCTCGGTCAACCTCTCTTCCAATTAAGGTGGCCTCCAGGATGCCTTATGTGATCACTCCACTTTGATCACACTCCGGTGTCATTTCACGTTGGCTTCCGACAGG